GGTCCTGTTGTCCCATGCCATTCTGACACAGTGGACCCCATGGACCACACGACTCTGGGAAACTACGCATTACACCAACAATATTTAATCTTGAACACAAACACAGAAAAACAAACAGGTCTTGTTTCTTGTCTACCAGAAAGGGAGATTTTAGATGCAGTAAGACATACAACTCTCCAGCTGATGTGCTCTTTGGTACACAGCTGCTTTTGGCATTTTAGAGAACAGAGGATAAGTGGTATTACATACCAAAAAGTATTGTGAAAAGCAAGGGAATGCATGTAAGTATTATAAATATTTTAGACTGTCTCCTCAATTATGCATTCACTGCATATTCTTACTACGAGCTTCCTAAAGCTGTGGCTCAGCTGTCTTACCAAGCTTCCCTCCTCTTCTCCAGCACTGAGCCACCACTGCCTTGCCTTCAACTACATTGTGCTCTGTAAATTGAATACGTTTGTCTGAGTCTGTAACCACAGTGACAGGGCAAGCAAAGAAACAGGAAACAGGATAGTGTGGGTTACCAAAAGGTCCCCAAAGGACATGGGAGCAGTATTGAGATACGAGAGAAAAAGCATGGGAAACAGGAGAGGCCTCCTATGCCTTTCAGTAGGTGATAGGATGTGCACCTGTGTTATTCCAGTGTAACTACTGACCCCTAATACTTAGGCACAACAAGCATGAGAAGCACTCCTTGCCACAGGTAAGAGAGCAGACACTATGGCTTTTATTCCCTGCTGTATAAGATCCCTAAAATACAAAGGTAGGCATCTGGTAAGCTCTTTATCTGAGTAAGACTCTATGTACAAGAATTGCACCTTGTTATACATTAGTTTCCTTCCTCCACTAAACAGGCTGAGAGGCTCTAGCCCCTTCTTAAAAATTTAACCCAGCTACTAAATGAACAACCAGCAAGTCAGACACATTTTCTGTGACCAAGCAATACATGAAGTGAGGGGGAAAAAAAAAGGGAGAAGACTTCACGGAGAGTTCTCTTGTGTCACATTTTCAACAAGTATCCCAAGCAGCAAGTAAAATTTCTGCTTACATTTATACTTGAAAGGAAACACAATCCCCAGTTATGGTCCTGTCTGATGGTAAGGTTGGTAGAACACAAATGATCCCCAAGACAGAAATAAGAAATGTTTGGTAACATTTTCCTTCGTTGGAAAAGTAGCAGTGTTCTTCAGCAGAAAGTTTGGGCCTCATTCTGCCATTGTGACACTACCAAGCTCCATCTACAGTTAAGGGAAGAATTCTAAATTAAAGCATTTGGTCCTGAATACTGTAGTGCTCCTTAAGGTTTTGTGCATTTAAAATAGCAACAGCCTTCAGTTAAGAAGCTATGCAGGTATCTCCTGCATCCACATCATTCAGGTTACTCCAGAGAAATTCTGGTAAGCAAGTAACTCCATTTCTGTCTAAAATCATTATTCAGAGCTTGCCAAAGCTGTACCTCAGCTATTGTTTATACCAGTTCATTTTGTTGTGTAAAGCGCTGAGAGCATACTGCCCTTAAAGAACATTTTATAAGTTTTAAATGAGCTCATGACAAGTTGCTGCTGGTGATAAAACTGCAAAATGTCTGTTTTGTCATTCATCAACACTTGTTTCTAAGACTCTGAGATGCAGTGTAAGCTTTACTCAAGTGTTGGCCACAGTTTTTCTCCATCACATCAATTTAGGATTTAGCTCTCAGCTGTGTAAATATCAAACTATCAGCTCCTTAATGTCTGGATCTTCAGGGAGAGAAAGAAGACCAAAAAACCAAAACAAAACACAAGGAAAAAAAAAAAAAAAAAAGAAGGCATGAGAACTTGCAAGCCTTTAAAACAGATGCTTGGTTGCATCAGTGATCTTAAAAAGAACTATTAAGATATTGCAAGTATCTTGCAATTTGCAGATTGCCACTGTATCTAAGCACTCAACTTACTAACATGAAAACTCACCCTAGCAGAAAAGAGAACTCAGGAGTGTTTATTTCCATTTCTGGGTATTTAAGGCATCAAATAAGTAATTTGTATTTTTAGAATGCTAAATGAAACCTGATGGGAAGAACTTAAGATTCAGTCGCTGACCCTGAACATTATTTGGGTACAGAGATCCATGTCCTTGGAAGATTAGGATCTTTATACTAACAGCAAGTCAAAAAAGTATTTAAAGGAAAAGATGAAAAAAGTAATAAAATAGTATTGCCACTGTTCCCAATTGTCCCCCACTCAGAAAAAGAATATAAAGCTTGCTTTTCATGATGAACTTATAACACAGTCTTAAGGATAAACATTAATTATGGAGTGAAAGATGTACTTACTGGTTTTAACTTTGGTTTTTTTTAGCTATGTCAAAAAGCTATCATGGTCCCCAGCTCTCCTCCCCCTAAAAAAGCTAGGGTCACGGGGGGGG